GGCCAATGTCACATGTACGCAGCTTCCGAAACCAGTGGTGGGAGTGCACAGAATGTGGAGTAAATGCAGAGTGTGTACATAGAAAATTTACCTCACAGATTGCCTTACCTTGTATGTCTCAACCAATTACCCGTATCATCTGGGGGAAGCGCTATTAGTGGTCCCCCTTGGACCAGAAGCACAACTCAGGCCAGCAAGGAGTTGTGCCTCCAGTTTCAGTGGGCCTGTGGAACTCCCTCCCACAAGAAATCAGCCAGGCACTGTCCCTGCTAAGTATCAGACACCAGGTTAAAACGGTTTTATTCCAGGAGGCTTTTTGCGCCGTTACTGAAACCCTGATGTTTTAACCTTTGATGTTGAAATTACGTTCTGAATTTTACACGTGTGTGTGTGTGTGTGTGTGTGTGTGTGTGTATTTAATTGTAAGTTGCTTCGAGGCCCTGATGGTGACTTGCGGGGTATACATTTTAAAAACATGAATAAATGACGCTTCGCAGAGGAGCTACGTCTATCAATGGTTATTAGCTTTCGTGGAGCATCCATAGTCGGAAGCAGTTTATCTCTGAGTGCCAGATACTGGGGACAAGCAGCAAGGCAGGGCTGTTGTGAGCTTCCCAGATGTTTCCAGCTGGTTGCAGAACTAGCCAGACCCTTGAGTCGAATCAGTGGGGCTCCTACAACATTCTTAGCTGCAGTCCTTTCCTCCCTAAGAGAAACATATTTTCAAGTACATTTGGGTGTCGACTGAGCAAATTTCCTCCCTCTCTACCGCAGGGGGGGTGTGCCTTGTTGGTAAGATCCACCATTCTTCCTGCCATTAAACAGCAACCACCACCAAATAGCATCCGATTCCAGGCTTGGCATAAAGGGGGCTTGCGATGAATCGCAAGAGCCCAGGCGGTGAGCCAAAGCCAACATTAATTTGGGGGGGGGGAGTTTCCTAGAAAGGGAAGGAGAACAGTCTTCTTCCCTGGTGGTTCAGGAGCAGGTTTTTAAAAGCCAGATAATTAAAAATGTAGAAGAATATCGAGTGGGAAAACGAGAGAGACATTTGCCAAGCCGCCTCCTGTTCTTCTCCCCACCCCTGCTGTGTTGACATCCCTTCTGTTTGCTTCCGGAGATGAATGGGGAGGGACCTGGGGCGAGGGCAACGGTTAACCCTCGGGGGGGGGCAGAAATCATTACACTCCCTGGGTTGCCCCAAATCCCCCACCCGGTCGTACAAGCGTGCCTTCTGGCAAGAGGCTTCATGCGGCTGTTGTCACGCAAAGCAATCGATGGGCAGGCCTGTTTGTCTGCGAAATTTAGCATGGGGCTTGCGGTTCCCCCAGAAGTAAATAGAGATGTTTGGAGGGTGGGGCATTGTGCTGTAGAGCAGGCTTCCTCAACCTTGGGCCTCCAGATGTTTTGAGACTACAGTTCCCATCATTCCTGGCCACTGGTCCTGCTAGCTAGGGATCATGGGAGTTGTAGCCCAAAAGCATCTGGAGGCCCAAGGTTGAGGAAGCCTGCTGTAGAGCATAGCAAGGTTCTCTTAAGAGCTCTTGGCATGGGAGGAAGTGGGCTTGGGAGATAGGGTCGTGGAAAAGGGAGAGTTGGACAGGACCCCCGAGGGTCATCTAGTCGAACCCTACAATTCAGGAACCTCAGCAGGTGGCCATCCGACCTCTGTTTAAAAACATCTAAGGAAAGAGAGTCAACCTCCCGAGGGAGACTGTTCTTACTGTCAGAAAGTTGCTGGAATCTCCTTTCTTGTAACTTGAAGCCATGGTTCAGGTAGGTAGCCATGTTGGTCTGACGCAGTCGAAATAAATAAAAAAAAATTGTCCTGTAGAGACCAACTATGTTAGTTCTGGGTATAAGCTTTCGTGTGCATGCACACTTCTTCAGATGCACTGAAACAGAAGTCACCAGACCCTTATATATAGTGGGGATGGGGTGGGGTTTCTCAGGAGGGTAGTAGGAGATGGGTGATGGACTCAATGGGTGCAGCAAGCCTATTGACGACTGTTAACGACTGCATGCACACATAAAAAAAAAATAGTGTTTATGACGCATAAAAAAAACAAACAAATAGTGGGAAAGTGTATTCAAACAGCATGGCTTTTTTAAGAAAACATCATTTTGCATTCAACTGGCTGTTCCGCTGCTGGATACCTAACAACTAATGCCGTGTTTCTTTTTACAGTGGTGCCTCGCAAGACGAAATTAATTCGTTCCGCGAGTTTTGTCGTCTTGCGATTTTTTTCGTCTTGCGAAGCACGGTGTCGGAAAAGTTTTGGAAAAGCTTCAAAAATCACCAAAGTCTTTAAAAACCTCAAAAAAGGCTACCACACCGCGTTCTATGAGTTGCTCCTCGAAGTCAAGTCACAACTGTATTAACGGTGTTAAGAAAAAGGAAACAAACTTGCAAGATGTTTCCGTCTTGCGAAGCAAGCCCATAGGGAAAATCGTCTTGCGAAGCAGCTCAAAAAACAAAAAACCCTTTCGTCTAGCGAGTTTTTTGTCTTGCGAGGCATTCGTCTTGCGAGGTACCACTGTATTAACAGTGCCTAATTATAAGAAATTTTAATCTCGGGGAATTTTAACTAAATCGTATCCCATATCTTAAACAACTACCCGCTTTCAGTGGTTCTGTCTGCCACTTCCAGCGATTTGCAAAGATTATTCATGCTGCAATTAACAGACAAAGCGCACATTCTTTAATCTACCGTCCATACAATTTTTCATTTACTTAAGAGCTAAATCATCTGTTGCTTGGGAGCCACTAGTAGCTCAAACCTCATGATTTAGCCCACAATCCAGGTGTGGGGAACCTCTGGCCCTCCTGATTTTACCACTCCCATCTTCCCTGATCGTTGGCTATGCACCTTCCTTTGACGAGTGGGGCACTGTGCAGGGAACAAGAGTCTCAGAATAACTCTCAGCTCCTTGAACAAACTGCAGCAGCCAGGATTCCTAGGGGAAAGCCCCATGGCTAGGATAGCTCAGTTGGTAGAGCACGGGACTCTTAATCTCAGGGTTGTGGGTTCCAGCCCCATGTTGGGCAAAAGATTCCTGCATTGCTGGCGGTTGGACAAGATGAGCTTCATGTTGTTGTTTATTTGTTTAGTCGTGTCCGACTCTTTGTGACCCCAAGGACCAGAGCACGCCAGGCACTCCTGTCTTCCACTGCCTCCCGCAGTTTGGTCAAACTCATGCTGGTAGCTTCGAGAACACTGTCCAACCATCTCGTCCTCTGTCACCCCCTTCTCCTTGTGCCCTCCATCTTTCCCAACATCAGGGTCTTTTCCAGGGAGTCTTCTCTTCTCATAAGGTGGCAAAAGTATTGGAGCCTCAGCTTCAGGATCTGTCCTTCCAGTGAGCACTCAGGGCTGATTTCCTTCAGAATGGATAGGTTTGATCTTCTTGCAGTCCATGGGACTCTCAAGAGTCTCCTCCAGCACCATAGAGCTTCATGGTCCCTTCCAATTCTACAAGTCTATGATTCAAGTGGGTCACTAACTCTTCTGCCACAGGCTTTTCAGATTGCTTTCTTTTGCTACGTCTGACCTTGCAGCGAACATTGTTTGTAGAACTGTTGATTCCCATGGCTATTGCATTTATTAGAAGTGAACCTGGATATTGCCCAATAGATATTGGGCAATAGATATTGGTCATAATATAGACGTGGAAGCGTGCGAGCAATTGTGGAATCTGGATATAAAATTTACAGTATGTTATGGTTTAAGAGAAAATTATATGAAAATGATATATCGATGCTATCTTACACTGAGTAAATTGGCAAAAATGTATAAATCTAAATCAAATAAGTGTTGGAAATGTAAAGAGAAAGAAGGTTCTTGTAATCATATGTGGTGGTCTTGTACGATGAGGGGGGAAGTTTTTGATCCCCTGCTAAATTTGCCCGTTTGCCCTCTGACGAAGAAATTTAAAGTCCATAATTTTAATGGTAGGTTTATTGTAGCTGTGAGAGACAGAATAACAAGAAGGTTAAAGCTTACTGGGAAATGATATATAATGAAATGAAAAGGATGTTTAAAATAACGTTTGTAAAAAAAAAACCCAGAAGCTTTTCATTTGGGAATTATAGGGACAGAACTACCTAAAATGTATAGAAGCTTAATCATGCATGCTACTACAGCAGCAAGAATGTTACTTGCCCCAAAATAGAAAGAAGCAGAAGTCCCAGCAAAGGAATAATGGATACAAAAACTTATGGAATATGCAGAAATGGCAAAACTTACCGGAAGAATAAGAAATCAATATAACAAAATTTTTATGAAAGAATGGAAATGGTTTATTGAATATTTACAGATAAACTGTAAACAGATAAGAACACTGTCAGGATTATTGTAATAACCTGCAGTTTTATAAGGGCTTATACTTAAAGAAGATGAATAAATGAGTATATTACGTTAATTTGGATGTGCAGAAGATATTAAAAATAAATTTAAGAAACCGCAGAAGGGGGGGGGGAGGAAGTCAAGTTTTGAAATGTCAAAATGATTGTAAAATTAGTGAAATTAGTGAAGAAGCAAACCTGGATATGGTGTACAGTAGATGACGAGGTGGCCGTGATCAGGCTTCTTCAAGATCTTGTTGCAAATTCTTCTTCCATCTCTGTTCCCTTATTATCTTCCAAACATACAAATTCCCTGCGAGCAAAAGTCTTGTTAGCTGCTGTGTAGCAGAAGGCGACCTCCCACTAGGCAGATGGGGGCAGAGACAGCCTCTCAGCAATGTGCTTTTCTCCCCATTAGCAAAGTAGGTGATCAGAATCCTCTACCATGGATGATATTAAATTGGTCAGATCCCTAGTCGTGGGGCAGTGTGGAATAGTGGTTAGAGGGTGGGGTTTAGGAGCAGGGAGACCCGGTTTCGAATGCCTGTTTGACCATGAACCCTTGCTAGGTCCTCTTAACACAAGGGCATAAAGAAGGAATCCTTTTCTCGTAAGAAATGCTTTCTCAAAGGCTGAAATTCCTTCTTCCTTCTAGGTACTGGAAGTGGCTCCCTGTCTCATGCAATTATCAGGACAATTGCTCCAACAGGGCATCTCTATACAGTGGAGTTCCACCAGCAGAGAGCTGAGAAAGCCATTGAGGAGTTTGAAGAGCACAAGGTGGGCCATTTGGTGACGGTGAAGAACCAAGATGTCTGCAAAAACGGCTTTGGCATCACTCACCTTGCAGACGCGGTCTTCCTGGACATTCCGTCACCGTGGGAAGCCATAGGGCACGCCAAATCCGCGCTAAAGCGCGAAGGTATGTTACCTGTTTTGTGGTTTATCCATCTGGGGTCTGAGAGGGGCATGGGAGTAGAGAGTGTGTACCAGCAGAGGCCTCCAAATTCCTCACTTGAAGACATAATCCTCAAATGATATTTTTGGAATACAGTGGTACCTCGAGTTAAGCACTTAATTCGTTCCAGAGGTCCGTTCTTAACCTGAAACTGTTCTTAACCTGAAGCACCACTTTAGCTAACGGGGCCTCCCGCTGCCGCGCGATTTCTGTTCTCATCCTGAAGCAAAGTTCTTAACCCGAGGTACTATTTCTGGGTTAGCGGAGTCTGTAACCTGAAGCGTCTGTAACCTGAGGTACCACTGTATAAGATGTTAGCATGTGAAATACAGATTTTATTTTGCACTGTGAACGGGTTCACTTAAAAAAAACACCCCAAAAACCCCTACCTTGAAAGGTGATGCAAATGCAAAATCTCTTTGGGAAGTTTTGGAACTCTGGGGGAAATGCGGGTGACTCAGAGTAGGCAGCGGCTAGGGAAGGGCCTGCGATTGTGGCCACCACCTCTGTTTGGGCAAGGAAAGTAAAGGTTGTGACTAGGGCTGGGTGGTATCTGGTTTTCAATATTGTGATATACCAGCCAAACATCTCAATATAACACGATGTCTGAAATAAGAATGGAACTGTGTAGAGGCGAACAGTAGGGCTGGCCAATACAGTGGTACCTTGGTTTAAGAACAGCTTAGTTTATGAACAACTTGGATTAAGAACGCTGCAAACCCGGAAGTAGGTGTTTTGGTTTGTGAACTTTGCCTTGGAAGCAGAACATGTTCTGCTTCCTGTTGAGTGTGTTCTATTTGTAAATTGAGTCCACCGCTACTATGGGAAAGCACTCCTTGGTTTAAGAACACTTTGGTTTAAGAGTAGACTTCTGGAATGGATTAAGTTCGTAAACCAAGGTACCACTGTATCTGGTTTTCAACACTAACTAAACTTTGCAATATACTGATATATCACAATGCCTGAAATATGGATGGAGTTATGTAGAGGCATTGGTTTCACGGTTTTTCCTGCGTTGTGATTTCTGCATCATGCACACACACACACCATGGTTCTTAATATGTTGCCAGGTCAAAAATTATGAATCTGATATCATAATATGGACTTCAAACTGGTTTTGGATGATACATTGATATATCACCCAGCCCTGGTCGTGACCTGTGAGTTGTAGCATTTTTATCCTTTTGTTCCTGCCAAGCAATTGCAGATGTGTTCCTTTTCCTGCCACAATAACCGAGGTAGGTGGAAGTGAGAGAGAGAGAGAGAGCAACGGGCAGTGTTTGAAACTCCCATTGTTCTAGGCGCATTTGGCGAGAGGGAATTTCATTAGGGCGAGCCGTTTTTGAACTCCGGGAGCAAATTTCAGATTAGGAGGGTAGACGGGGGGGAATAATGCATGCAAAGCTCTGTGAACACTTGAAAGTGATACATACCTGCTCAGTCTTTTGTTTTATGTTATTGCCAGGCTGTGCATGGAGCAAAAATGGCAAAATAATAATAATAACAACTATTATTATTTCCTGCTTCTGTCTGTGTTTCTGCAAGGAATAATGTTGCTGTGTGTACTGGGTTCTTGACCTTTAAGCTCTGCAGCCCTTGACTTGAAATGCTCGGCTTGTTGCTGAGATCCATTTAGATCTTTTTACTTAAAAGCAATTAAAAATAAGAGCTTCAGGTTTTGCAGCAAGAGGCAGAGATCTGAAAGGAGAAAAACAACTTTTCTCCCACTGTTCTCCCCCCCCCCCCCCCCGCTTTGATTGCACAGTAATTGGCATGTGAATAATATAAAAAGCTCTTGAACTTCTAGCTGAGCTGCGAGTGAGTGGGAAGGCATAGTAACGTAGCTTGATGAAAGCAAATTCTCTGCAACATTTTGATGGGTGTGCGTGTGTGTGATACAGATTTTTATTTTTATTTTAAATCCTGCTAATGACCAGGGTGGTTGAATAAAAGATGGGGAAAGCCATCTCTTAGGGCTTTGAGTCAAGAACAGTACACATTTCATACGCTGGGTCACTCATGTGCAGTTATCCCTTGATGACAGCAGCATTGAGTGATGGAGGGGGGCTTTCTTGAACTTGAGAAAGCTTAGGCCCCCAGTGTCATGGTCCGGTCTAGGGGCAATCAAAGTCCCGGCTGAGGACGTCGGGACCGGGGGCAAGATGGCGGGGTGGGAGCAGGAACGAGAGTCCAGAAGCCAGGGGTCCGAGGGTCAGGAAGCAGGGAGTCACGAAGTCAAGGGTCCGAGGGTCGAGGAGAAAGGAGTCACGAAGTCAAGGGTCCGAGGGTCAAGAAGCAAGGAGTCAAGAAGCCGAGGTCTGAGGATCAGGAAGCAAGAAGCCAAACGCAGCAAGGCAGGAAACAAGTTGCTGTGGCAAAGAGCCGAAAGGAAATGCTGACCTTATATGCCTTCCCCGCTCTTGCCACCAGGTGCATTGAGTTACCAAGCGGCCTCACCTGTGTGGCCGTGCCTTGCCTCTCCAGAACAAACTTAGGAAGGCCCCAGCCTATGTAATAGGATGGCACCAAGAGTTGTGAGCAGATGGGGAAATATCTGCAAATGAGGAACCTGTAGCCCTCTAAAAATTGTTGAACTCCAACTCTCTTCAGCCCCAGCCAGCATGAACAATGGTAGGGGAAGTGTTAGAAACTCAGGTATATAAGCTAGGGGCCCAATGGCTCCTTAAACTAGGGTTATAGTCGGCGTAACGAAATGTCTAGTTGCCGTTTCGGGGCCAAAAGTCGTGTTTTTCAGTACGACTTTTTGGTTCCTGAAGTTCATTCTGATTGGGCAGATAAAACATAACGGATAGAATCCTACAGGATGTGTTGTTAGTGTGTGAAAACGAGCAAGAGCCAAGGATAACCAGGCAAACACCTCCTGATGGTGGAGACATCAGACGCTGTCCTGGCCCCCCAGGCATCTTCACTTGGTTGCCAGTGGTTGATAGCTACTGGCGAATTTTGAACGCTGAGTTCGAGAAGGGTGGGAGATGTAAGCTCGAAAGCATTTCAAGGGAGACCTGGAGCTCCCATCCCTGCTGTAAGATGGAGGTCCTATAGAAATCAGTCTGCTTATGTTTCTGCATATTTTTCTGATGCCACCTAGCACGAAGTCTAACATCGCCCTGCAGTTTGCTGAAGATTCCTTTTGTATGCTGAAGGGCAGAGTATGTTTGGATCCAAACCAGGACTTCTCAGTGTGGTTGGATTCCAACTTCAGCTACCTTGATCAAGTGCAGAGGCAACAGGTTATGCACATGGGTGGTGAACTGGGGCTTCTTTTCCCAGAGGAGAATTGATTGCTCTGTGCCAAATTGGAAACAGGGATTTAGCGCTATCCGCCACCAAAGACTTCAGATTCAATCCACGTTATACATGATTAAAGCATTGCTTCAAACTCTGCCACCTCCTAAGCTGCAGTCCTGTCCTTGCTTACCTAGGAGCAAGCCCCATTGAACTCAACAAGGCTTACTTTTGAGTAGACATGCACAGGACTGCACTTCCGGAGTCCATCTTTGGGCGTTCTCAACTCGCAGTCACTTCTGTTCCCACGGCACAGCATCACCTCTGCTCGTGAACTGGAGACTTGTAAATTGCATTGACCTTATATCTGGAATAAATTTAGGCAAAAAAGGCAATGTGACAAGATGCCAGAAGAACATTCCCATAGTCCCCTGGGTGTTGCTGTTAAAGCGCAGTCAGGGTTCCAGTTCAAGTCAAATGCCAACATTTTGAGTTATGCATGCACAAAATACTTGCAGAATCATGGCTGTTGTACTCCACTGTATAAACAACTGAAACCACCAACAGTTTGGGGTGATGCTATTTCCCCCTCCAGTTTTGTCCTCAAAAAGATGATGGTGTCACGATTTGTGTCTGTCACCATCAAGACCCAAAAATTCCATTGGAAAAGTTTCAGGCACTTACAAGAGTGCAGGAAGCTAACTTGCATTGGGCCAGGCCATTTGCCTACCTATCTCAATATTGTCTGTCTCAAGCACCTATCTCAGCGTTGGAAATTAATCATAGAATTGTAGAATTGGAAAGGACCCTAAGGACCATCTAGTCCAGGGGCCAGCAAACTTTTTCAGCAGGGGGCCGGTCCGCTGTCCCTCAGACCTTGTGGGGGGCCGGACTATATTTTGAAAAATACCAAAAAACAAACAAATTCCTATGCCCCACAAATAACCCAGAGATGCATTTAAAATAAAAGGACACATTCTACTTATGTAAAAACATGCTGATTCCCGGACCATCCATGGGCTGGATTTAGAAGGCGATTGGGCCTCAGGTGATGAATGAAAGGTCTTGGTAGGTAAGAGGTGGTCCCCGGATGCACCTGGCCCCCAAGTCGTGCAGGGCTTAAAATTAGCATCTTGAGTTGGGCTCAGTAATATTTGAAGCTGGGCATGTTGTTCCTTTCCTATTGCCAAGTGGGCAAACAATCAATTCACGCACCCTTGCCTTAGCCTGACGTTCCACTCTACCGGCCGTAAAGCTTATCTGATTTCTCAGATGAGCAAACCGCACTGTACTTAATTATTTTAGGGTGAATAATTCAGTAGCATTTCCAAGGCTAGCTGCTTTCTGCTGGTTCTCTGGGAATTCCCTGCTGTGTGTCTGGGAACTCGAGCTTCCCAGCATAGGAGCTAGCAATGTGTTCAGCAGTGGCGACTGGAGTGAAAATACATCATGGGCGAAAATGAAAGCTGCCTTTCGCGTCTGCATGTCATCTGCATAACTCTTATTTTGAAATTGACGTGAAAAACGCCAAAGTATGGTTGGTGGGCATTTTGTGTGTATTTCACAATGTCCCTGAGGCCAAATTGGATGAGGCACTGTGACTTTTAACATCACTGCCAGGTATAATAGGGCCCCTGATAGCAGGAATCAAATACGATATGTTTACATTTTAGTATTAACTTTACAGGGGGCACTTCACATTTTTTGTGCTTGCCCCC